ACATCTTACAGCAAGGTAAGAGTTAATGTTTGTTGAATCTAGTAATTTTTTAAAAGATTTATCTATTTGAGAGAGAGAGCGATCAGGGACAGGCAGAGGGAGAGTCCAACGCGGGGCTCAATCCCAAGACCCCGAGATCATGACCCAAGCTGAAACCAAGAGTCAGCTGCTCAACCAACTGCGCCACCCAGGAGCCCCTTGAACCTAGTAATTTTTAAAACTCTATATTCTGTATGTTTTTTTCATGCTATTTTTCTACTAATTTAATTTAGTTCAGGCCCTGCGTATCTCTAGCTTAGATTATTCAACTGCTTCCTAACCTCTTTCCCTGCCTTAGGTAAGTCTATCCATAATATGGTTACCAGATTTGACCATATAACCACCCTACCTAAAACCGTTCAATGGATACATAAAAAACTTCGTGATTATCTCTGGGGAGAATGGGGGTGTCTGGGGTAGGAGAAACATTTATCTCATTTGTCTTTCACTTTAGTACTATCTTAATTGTTTATCATTAGTAATTACATAGTTCCAGTGTTTTACCAAAGTGTTTTAAAAAAAAAGTACTTTATATGTCAATTATAACTCAGTAAACGTGGTGGGGGGGAAGAAAGAAAGAAAGTACTGATTTGTAACACCTTGGTGCGGGGTGGGGGGGGAACCTACCTGGTCCTTTACCAAGATAGTTTGAGAAGCACTGATACCAGGCACTTCACTGAATGCTGAGCACAAAGTAAGAAATCTCAAAATGTAAATTTCCTCTCTGCCTACTGGACTCTATGATCAGTCACTAAATGCTTATGATGAGCCCCCAAAGCAAAGAAAAGATAAATGTTGCACAGGTGCTAAAGAAATTTAAGAAATATAGTTGCAGAAATAAAACCCACCTAATAGAAAAGAAGTAAGGTAAAAGACAATCAGTATAAGCTCTAATTAAGTGATACTGAAAAAAATATTTTGACAAACTAGGGTTCTTTCCAGGTGAAAGTGGTCAAGGACGTTTGGTCAGAGGACGTGTGACTAGATCGGGGCCTTTGAAGGCTCCATAGTGTTCACGCAGCTGAGAGGAGGTGGGGCGTTTAGGCAGAGAACTACCAGAGCAAGAGCAGAGGGGGAAACAATTTGGGTAGCTGAAACTAAGAGGACAGCAGAAGAAAGGAGGGGTTGGAACTGATTTTATGGGACAACCTTGTCTTTGTCTACCGATTCAAGGATTTAAACAAAAACCAAGAAGTCATTGAAGATTTTTGAGCTGAAAAACAAAATGATCAAACTGGGGTCACACAAGCAGTACCACATAACCTGCTATTGTATCACTACATATCACTCTCTGTGAGGTGTCAATCTTTTTCCTTTCGTTGCATTCAACCCTGCAAAAGATCCCAACCTCAGATCAGTCCAACCATCCACTTTCTAGACTCTTGAACTTAAATCCTCACTTAGATTTGCTGAAGAAAACCAAACCCTGCAGAATGATACACAACTACTGTGTAGTCTCCAACCTGAGCAGGGCCCTCAGCCTGGCCCAGCCAATCTTTTTCAGTGTTCCTGGCCCACTTCCTCTTCTCTTTCCCAAGGACGAACTGTTTCTAGCTTTCACGGTTATCCTCAAGCCCCTCTACTCCACTGCTTCTCAGACCTTTCAGCCGGTGTCTCTGCCCCCTTCCTCTGAGGAACAACTAAGGTCAGTCATCAGACAAGGAAGAACTCTTTCAACTTTCTCCACCCAAGCCTAAAAACATACATATTTCAAATGCCCACCCAGACTTCTCTGCTTCTAATCTAAGCCCTCCATTTGTGATTTATCAATCACTTCCTGTCCCCTAGTTGGTTGTTCCTCATTTCTTTTTTTTTTTTAAGATTTTATTTTTTTTTAAGTAATCTTTACACCCAACGTGGGACTCGAACTCCCCACCCTGAGATCAAGAGTCACATGCCCTACCGACTGAGCCAGCCAGGTGCCCCAGTTGTCCCTCATTTCTCATTTGTTTCCAATCTTCTCTTTGTATCAACCCATATAAGTTGCTCAAAGCTCTTCCATCTCAGGGAGGAAAAAACCCAACATAAAACAAAATCTTTCTTTGATGCCATATTGGCTTCTCCTTCTCAAGCACAGATGTCCATAGGCCTTCATCTTCGGTTCCCTTCCTGTCTTATTCTACACAGCCTCCTTGGGCAAACTCATCCATTCCCATGTCTTCAGCTACTATCTCTGAGTCATTAGCCAGCAAATCTGTACTCTTGCCATACTGAGCTCCAATGGTGTCAATCTCACATTCCACTACCGAACAGCATTCTCTATCTTTATGTTTCATTGATACCTCACGTTAAACATGTCCAAAATGGAGTATCTTCCCCCTAAATTTGTCTCTACTTCTATTTTGGATCTCTTTAAGGACTGACACTATCTATGTAGTCATTCACATAGAAAGCTAGGTGTCATCCTAGATACCTCAAGTCATTAACTCAGGCTAATTCTACTTCCTTAAGCTCTCCTATCCAACCCCTATAAATCCCCATTGCTACTGCCTTCGTTCAGACCCTGAATATCTCTAGCTTAGGTTACTCAACCACCTCCTAACCTCCTTTTCTGCTTCCAGCGTTGTTCCCTTAAATCTATTCACAAAATGGTTACTAGATTTGGCCATATAACTACCCTGCTTGAAACCCTTCAACGGACACATAAGAAACTTCATGGTGATTGTCTCTGGGGAGAATGGGGAGGGAGCTACAATAGGAGGAAATATTTACTTTTCACTTTAGTACTATCTGAATCATTTACTACAGCATGCACTACAAAACTAAAGTTTCAGCAGCTTCAAATGCCTACAATACAAGGTCCTTCATAATCTCCCTGCTGGTTACCTTTAAGCTGCTCTCTCAAGTTACTCTTCTGTCCTGAATGCCCCACAGTCTATCCTTTCATCTTTTAAGACTCTGCCCAAATGGTACTTCCTCCCAACTTTTCCATCCCGGAAGGGACCTCTTTCTCCTTTATGTCTACTTTGTGCTGTAAATATACTTCCATCATGGCATATACAGATGTTATATGTCATATTTAAACAGATTGTTTGAAATGTCTGTCTCCCTCCCTTAGCCTTAGATTCCCTGAGGGCAAAAGTAGTTCTTACTCATCTCTGAATTTTCAGTCTAGTTACAGAATCTGAACTTGCAGAGGGTGGGGCCTGGATTAGAGTGCTTTGAAAATGCTCATCTGGTGATTCTAACTCACTATCCTGTTAACAACTGATCTAAATTATAAACTCCTTGAGATCAGGAATCATTGTGACCAGCACAATGTGAATGATCAAAAAATGGTTTCTAAACTGAAACTGAAGCAGACAAGTCCTGAAACTGAGGGAGGAAAGGTTGGAGCTGGAGATATGGAGGCATCAGAATACAAGAAGGTGTGTGAAACTGTGGCAGTAAATAAGCTTACTCAAGGGGGTACAATGTGAGAGGACTTAGGAAGCCAGGCCAGACTCCTTTGTCACCCAGTAACTCCAGAGGACTCATTTACATGTGTTTTTCCATCCAGACTGTGAGTTCCTTAAGGTCAGCAACTCTGTCCTATTCATCTCTGTTCACCTGTCACTGAGCACAGTGCACAATACCTGTTAGGAGCTTAGGAACTTTTTACTGGTATCAGTGACACTGATAATAGAAGGAGGTACAATACTTCAGAACACAAAGGAAGAAGTGACTACTTTGGCCAGGGAGGTGGGGGCTGGAAATAGATGTTTTCAGAGGGACAAGTGAGCTCAGTCCTGAAAGAGAAGTTCATTTGGCAGAGAAGTGGCCAGAACTTCAAGCAGAGGGAACAGCAGGAGCGTAGGTACCAAGGCTGAAAGAACACAACGCAGACACACCCCTTCCAAGTGGCTGGGATTCGAGGGCATGACACGGGAAAAACGTTAGGGAGCTTTAGAAAATGAGGCTGAGAGGATCAGACTGTGAAGGGCCATGGACGCCACCTAAGGATTTAAACCTGACTGTGGGTGGCCAAAGAGGAATTTTAAATTTAATCTGAAATGACCAAACTGACTTTTTAACTAGTGGCAGTACGAAGGGCAGAGTAAAGAACTGAGACCCAAGGGAAGGAGCTTAATTAGCAGCTGCCAGTCCAGCTAACAAACCCAAGCAAGGGCTGTATCCTCAAGCCTGACACCCGAGAGAAAGGAGGGAAGGGAATGAGAAATCCATTCTATAAAAACCCAAGATTTAAGTCAAACGAATTCTGAATTCCGACTCCTGCTTGGGCCACCAAGCTGCACTTGTTTCTTCGTGTTTGAACTGGATGGAAAGTTCCAAAGTGGAAATGCCCGGGAACTTTCTGTTCCTACCTTAGGGGTTCCAAGGCACTTCCCATCACAGCCCCACCCCTGCGCGAGGACCACCTGTACAAAGAAGCGCGGGGACAAAGCAGGAGCTTCTCAGGCGAAAGCGGAATGCCGCGGCACCTACTCAGGACTCCGGGTGGAGGATTGCGCGTGCGCATCTATCGCGCAAGCCCCGCCCCCTGCCTTGAAAGCCAGTGGCGGGAAACCGGGCTCAGCGCCTCTCGACAGTGCCCCCGCGCCTCCGAAAGGACGCTGTCCCCTAGAGCCCTCTCTCCCACACACTCACCCGCTCCCCGCCGGTCCTCAGGATCCCTGCGGAGCCAGCAGCCCTCACGCGCCGCGCCGCAGCCTTTCCCGCCACCCGACCCGGCGGGACTAGTACCCGCCTGCGTGCGGAGTGGGGCGGGGCGAGCCGGGCCGGTCCATGTAACTCCAAGCGAGCGGGGCGGTGGTGGAGGTGGTGGTGATGAAGTGAGGAAAAGGGAAACGAGAACAAGTACTGTTTTATCTGAGTCGATCCCCTATGTTGAGCTAAGAACCACAGCGATACGAATTTTCTGCTAACTTAAGAAAATAGGGATCAAAGTCCGATTAGAGGTAAATTTACAAACATTCTTCCCCTTCTTCTAGTCAAGTGGATTTTTCCAAAGTCTCAAAGGTTAGTTAGAAAAATTAGGCTTTATTTGGGGGGAAGTGGAGAGTTAAGCTACGGCCTAGAGGGGTCTTTTGCGGGCGGGGTGTCTTTCATGCTAGAGGTATAGGTTTAAAAGCTTGAGAAGCGTGCAGGCTCCTAAAAGGAAGAGAACAACAATAAATATTCATTGGTAAGTTGAGGATCTCCTCTGGACTCTGCTGAGATTGAGTGTATTTTGCCGATGACAAAAGAAGATAGGGCTCAGACGAATAATTATCTCCTGAATTATTAATCATTTGAATAGAAGGAATCAGTTTCTGGGATATGAAGGGAGTTAGAAGAGATTTGCTGAAGATGAAAGGACACTTGAGAGAAAAGTGAAAGGACGCACACAAAAAGAGGAAAATAAAGAAGTCTATAAAACTAGGGGTAAAAGCAGAGAGATACCATTTGAAGAGTGTTTTGATCTGCTCTAACTAAATTAAAACTCCGAGGGTCAAAGCCTCTGCCTCCTACGGCCCCCCACCCCTACCTCTGCATTTGCTCCAGGCATTAGATTTCCTGTTTTGACCTTAGGGAGCTCTTCTTTGGCTTAAGTACCAGCTGCCTGGAAGCCCCTCTGGGGACGTCTGGCAGAACCGCTAAACTACTTAAATTTTCTAGATTCTAGGCTCACCCTACCCCTTGTTTAGGTTGGGAGCTCACTGGCCCAGGGCCTCCAAAGAGATCCATCATACCAGAATGAACACAAAACCCAGCTGGTGGATGTAGACAAGTTTATGTGGCTATACAGAACAGTCAAACCCCAGTGTTCACTTTTCTCAGAGCTACTTCCCCACCCAAGTCCCTGGGGCAAGCATCCCTGAGATAAGTAGGCTACACTCTCCGGTTAACTTCCCCAAATTTTTTTGGTACAATTGCAGCCTGATCTGGGGCTCATACCTCCATTTTCTCTCTCCCTGCCCCCAGCCCCTTCTAATCCTTGGAATGCCTTGTCTCCATCTGCCTCCTGTGAGGAGTACTCCCTGCTTCCCTGCTCCCGCATAAACCTAGGGCCCTAATAAACTTGACTGGCAGCAGGGTGAAGGCCAGAAGCTTAAAGGTCTTGGTTCCCTGTGCTCACCACACTGGGTTGGGAAAGGAAGGTATAGGGTGACACCTTTTTTCCCTTCCCTACCTCTCCTGCTGTGCCCCAAAACTCAGACACAGCCACATTCACTCACATTCATACCATTCATACGCACAATCATGCACACACAGCGGCGAAGAGAGGTGGGATGGGGAGAAAGGGAAGGGAAGTTTGCACAAACCAGCTCATGAATGCAACTTGAAAGATTTCACACAGCAAAAGGCAAAAAAAACACACACATAAATTAAAAAATAAAGAAGTACATGTCCCTCCCCCAGTCTCTTTCTTCATCCAGGGGCTGGCTCAGCCCCTCTGAGTAAACCCAGAAGCTTCCTACTCCCTCTAGCCAACTGGAGCTTTCACAGGGCCTGGGTCTTCAGTTCAACAGGTTCCCCAGTGCTCTCTGGTTGTCCATTGGAGTCACTGGGCCTGGCACCCTTGAGAATAGACAGTCTCTCAGAAACACTCTTGAGCCGGGGGAAGAGGAGAAAGTCGTAGAGGAGACTGCCTAGTCCCCCTCCAATGATTGGGCCCACCCAGTATACCTGTAGGAAAAGGAGAGGAATAATCAGACTTGGGGAAGGGATCAAGAGCAAGGCTTCTCTTTTCCCAACCCTATGGGTAGAAAACAGACATCTGTACTTGGCATATACAACTGGGCACTATTTAAGCAGAAACCAGTGTTTGTTTGTTTTTAAATTCTAAACTGCTCTACTGCCTGTACCTCGAAACTTACCATTTCTTTTGTGACTCACCAAATTAGTCCTTTATCCCACATATATATTCTATTTCTTATCCGTTTTCACTAGTTTATAGATTGCTTTGAAAAAAATGTTTTAATTGTGGTAAAACATACACATAAAATTTACCACCTTAACCAATTCTAAGTGTAGAGTACAGATTATATGTTAAGTATATCATATTGTTGTGCAACAAATCTCCAGAACTCCTTCATCTTGCCAACCTGAATCTCTATACCCATTAAATAACAGCTGCCCATTGCCCCCTCTCCTGAACCCCCATCAAGTTCCCTTTTGCTTTGTTTCAATGAATTTGACTACTCCAGATACTTCACATAAGTGGAGTTATACAGTATTTGTCATTTGGTGACTGGTGTATTTCATGCAGCATAATGTCCTCAAGGTTCATCCAAGTTGTAGCCTGTGACAGGACTTACCTTCTTTGTAAGGCTGAATACTATTCCAGTGCATGTAGAGACTACATTTTGCTTATCCACTCACTTGTGAGGGACACTTGGGTTGCTTTCACCTTTTGGCTATTGTGAGTAATGCTGCCATGAAAATAGGCTTACAGCTTTGAAAATTTTTTTAAAATTATTTCTGTATATTTGGCTGGCATATGGCCAAACAACACAAACATAGCCAATTTTTATTGAGGTCTTAGTCCATACCAGATTCTGTGCTAAATATTTCACACATATAATGTTCACACTTATTTCTCCTAACACCCCCATTTTATGGCAAGGAAACTGGGGTGCAGAATGACAGAGTCATTTGCCGTGGTCACACACAAGGCCAATAATGTGCTAGAACTGGGATGAGGCACAGGCCCATCTGTACTCATATACATCCTGAGCTCTGAGAGTAGAAGGTTTTGACTCCCTGTTCAGTTGTCTATCCTCAAAGTGCTCGGTTTAGAATTCTGTGGATACTTAGTAAAAATCCCCGACCAACCAGTGAAGGAATAATATGAGCAAGAGCCTCTCTTTCTAGCAAAATAATGAATCCTGTTCACACAGGCATGCCAAACTCTGACAGTCCCTTTAGCTGGGTGCTAGTAAAGCAGTTAACACATCCAGATGGAAAGCAGGAACCACACATGGAGCCTGCAGCCCACACCCACACAGGAAGGCTTCAGGATCTTGCCCCTCTCCCCTCACTCACCCAGTGGTTGGTGAAGTTTCTGGTGAGAATGGCAGGAGCAAAGGAGCGGGCAGGGTTCATGCCTGCACCAGTATAATACATCTGCAAAAGACACAGTCATAACTGAGACACTTTCCCCTCCTCTACCTCAGCTTCTCTCCCTACAACCCACATACCCCTGAGGGCTAGCACCTTGCCTCAGCCAGCAGCAAGTAGGGAAGGACAAACTGCGTGGGGGCTCCACAGTGGAGGAAAGGCACTGATGCCTTATCTGGGGTCAGACTATGGATCCATAGACAAAGCCCGCATCTACCCATGATGCATACATTTCCACTTTGGGGTCAAGAAGGACCAGATACAGAGGTTACAGAAGAGAGGACTAGAACAGTGTTGAATCCTCTTGTTGCCGACTGAAACAGAGTGAGGTGGACTATGTTCATGTTTGACAGTGAGCTGGGCAGAAAGAAACTTCAAAAGTTGCGAAAGGGCGAGGGGCCCTAGAATCCTTAAACAAGAAGTTTCTCCCCTTTCCTGCTTACCCCAAAGAGGTGCCCCAGGGTGAGGGAGAAGCCAACAGCCAGGGCTACAGATCCCAGGCGGCCATTCCGCCTCTCGTCGTATGTGGCAAAGATGCAGAGCACAAACTGGAGCGTCAGGAAGATCTCCACCATGGTGGCCTGGCCCACACTCACCCCAGGGTGCAACTGGGCAAAGGAAGAAGAAAGGAGGCAGCTCGTTAGCGTTGCCACAATGTTACCTCCTCAAGGCTTCCCACACAGCAACCCCCTTATGGCCATCAGTTCCCAGGAGAGGGAGGATACAACCCCCTTCATAGTAATTGTATTTGTTTCTTAATTTCTCCTACTACTACTCCTTTGTGGTAGAAAGAATTGTACCCCCATATGCAGATGAGGAAGCTGAGGCCCCAGGCCCCGTCAGGTAAAATAAATTTCCTCAAGAAACTGCAAGGAGTTGGAAGGAAAGCTGAAACCAGAACTCGGGTCTCTTGAGTCAGTCCAGGCCTTTATGCCTTCCTTACTCCTCCAAACTACCTTTGACACATGCGCGTGCGCGCGCGCGCACACACGCACACACACACACGCACACACGCACACGCACACGCACAGACACACACAATGTCCCAGACCCCTGAGGAGCTGATCGGCCTCCACCACGCAGGGAGTCAGGGTACCAGGTTCCTCCAGCCCCACTTAGCTGACCATTACCGTATTTAGTGCTAGGTTTCCTCGGACGGCAGGCGGGGTGACACTATACAGCACGGCAGCCCCAGCCACAGCTCCCAGGAGTTGGGCTGCCATATAGCAGAAGGCACGGAGCAGAGACATCTGGGAACCCACAAGGAAGGCGAAAGTGACTGCAGGATTGACATGGGCCCCACTGATGTGGCCCACAGCCTGCACCAGTGTAGCCAGGGCCAGGCCAAAGGCCAGAGCCACCTGCAGGACATGCAGGGGTCCGGGGGCCCAACGCAGTGAGGCCCCCAGTCCGAAAAAGACATAGAAGAGGGTGGCAAAGAACTCAGCAAATATGGCCCTCCAGAAGGAGGCTGACCGCAGTTCCCACATGGCAGGGGGGATGGGCACAATGCTTGGGTCCCTGATACCCCCCTGGCCGTTCTGGGTGGACAGTTCCCTTTATAGAGGACTCTTAATCCCTGGGAGGGGCAGGCTGAAGTGGCTGGCCCAGCCTCTTAACCCCTTCACAGCTGCAGAGGGCTGGGCTCACTCTTATGCATCTGATAAAGCTGCTGGATTTTCCCCTCCCTCTTCCATGGGAGAAGAGCCATGGGTGTTAGTTAGGGTGGGTGTTGGGGTCAGGGCTAGACAGCCTCTGAGAGAAAAGGACCAAGAACAGGGGGACTGTAAAAAGTCTGTTTTTCTCTTTGTGTCAGAGTTGGGGATCATGATCCTGATTGACATCTATATTAGAACACTCCTCAACTCTGCTTGGAAGATCAGTCAAACTGAGTTCACTTCGTAGGGTATGAGACTGTGCTCCTGGGGGCCTTCATTCTCCTCTGAGTCGGCCAGGGGTAAGGGTGGGGGTGGGGGGGTCAGGGGTGGGGTCCAGCAGGGAAGTTGGATAACTGAAGAGAATTCTTTAGTTCTCTGGGATTAAAGGACCTTTTGCCATTGGTTGGTTTGGTCTGGAATCTGTGGACCCTGCAGCTCTGGGACAGAATAGTTCTGCTGTGTCTGGTTTTCTCCAAGCCCAGGTTCCCTACCCCCAATCCATGCCGGCACCTCCCTTTCCAAACCCTCAGCCTGGCCTTGTAAACCACAGAGACAGGAGGAAGAACCTATCTGCCATGGATAGGTTGGGCGTGGAGCTGGGGGACTGGGGAGGAGAAAAGGGCTTAGTAGCTAAATTTCAGAATCAGCTTAAACTTCATCTTTTCTAACTCACAAAGTCCTAGCAGTAAGTACTGAAAAGAAAGAAACGGAGTCATAGCTATGGAACAATGGGAGGGTCTAATGCCTCCTAATATGGTCCTAATCAGGACCCTGGGAGCTTAAATCTTGATCCCTAAAGAAAAGCCTCGGGATAGGGGTGTCTGGAGAAGCAGGCTGGGCAAGGAGAGAGCAGAGGACAAAATGGGGTAGGAGAGTGTGGGGAAAGAGGTGCAGTTGTGCTCAGGCTTGATGAGGGACTTGGGACCTAGAGGTGGGGGCTTTGTGGTGGTACAGAAGGCAGAATGGGACACACTGGTAGGTTCTACCATTTCTACACCATGGCAAGTCATACAGGTCAGAAGCTTTTCCCATGAAGCACCAAAGGAGAACAAAAATTTAAAGTAAAGTTCTGCAATATTGGTCCCCAGCATTGGTCCCATCCAGTACACCCGTGGGGAGAGAGGAGGAACACAGATTAGGGCCTATGTGCCTCTCTTCCTCCAATATCCAGCTTGGGAATGGATAGGAACAGTTATAGCGAAGGCAGAGAGCCCATCTAACCCACGCACATGTAGAAAGTGGCTGAGAACAGGTCAAAGGGCACCCAAGGAGACTGGAGCTCCCAATTTTACAGAAGAGAAACAATCCATTAGAGATCCTTGGAATCTCTTGGGTTTTAGAAGCCCTACCAATCTCCTCACTTTAGGCCCTGCAACCCTTGTTGCATCTCATCCAAAGATGCTCCCAGGTCCCAGTCACCTCTGTTGGCCCTAGGGAGTATGTAGGGTTCATGCTGTTTCTGGGAAAGGAGCCCGGGACAGGACAGAGGGTAGTACGTCATAGTGTTAAGAGCAGAGACTCTGGCAACAGGTACTTTGGTTCAGATGTGGATGAGAATACAAAGTGACAGAACTAGTTAAGACTGCTAGTGGGAGTATAAATTGGGATTACCAATTTTTTTTTTAAGATTTTATTTATTTGACAGAGAGAGACACAGCAAGAGAGGGAACACAAGCAGGGGGAGTGGGAGAGGGAGAAGCAGGCTTCCCGCCAAGCAGGGAGCCCGACGCAGAACTTGATGAGGGACTTGGGACCTAGAGGTGGGGGCTCTGCGGTGGTAGACCCTGGGATCATGACCTGAGCCGAAGGCAGACGCTTAACAAATGAGCCACCCAGGCGCCCCTGGATTATCACTTTGGAACACAGTATATAGCACCATCTTATAACAAACATACTTTCTTTTTTTTTTTAAGATTTTATTTATTTATTTGCGAGACAAAGAGAGAGCATGAGCAGGGGGAGGGGCAGAGGGAGAAGCAGACTCCCCGCTGAGCAAGGAGCCCAAGGTGCGGTTTGATCTCAGGACTCCAGGATCATGACCTGAGCCAAAGGCAGCTGATTAACCGACTGAGCCACCCGGGCGCCCACAAATATACTTTCTGACCCAGGAATTTCACTTCTCATTTATATACCCAAGAGAAACTCTCTTTCTTTCTTTCTAAGGGAAGGAGAAAGAGAGGGGAGGGAGAGGGGTAGAGGGAAAGGGAGAGAGAATCCTAAGCAGGCTCCACACCTGGTCAGGTGCTTAACTGACTGAGCCACCAAGGCACCCCCCCCAAAAGAAGCTTTTCTATACCTACACCAGGAGACATGTACAAGAATGTTGAGAGCAGCACTGTTCGCAATAGCAAAAACTTGAAGCAACCCAAATACCCATTGGTAGAAAAATGGATGTATAGACACTGATATATGTGTCTGTCTGTATATATACATATATTTCACACAATGGAAAATTATTCGGCAGTCAAAATGAGTGAACCTGGGGTACCTGGGTGGCTCAGTCAGTTAAACGTCTGACTCTTGATCTCAGCTTAGGTCTCCATCTCAGGGTTGCGAGTTCAAGCCCTGCCTTGGGCTCCATGCTGGGCGTGGAGACTACTTAAAAAAAAAAAAAAAAAGAGTGAACCACCACAGTGATACTCAATAATAGGGAGGAATTTTAGCAATAAAATATCAAGTAAAAAAAAAAAAGGCCCAGAAGATTATACATGGCATGATAACATTTTTATAAAGTTAAAAAAAAATCGGGGTGCCTACCTGGCTCAGTTGGTAGAGCATGCAACCCTTAATCTCAGGGTTATGAGTTTGAGTCCCACGTTGGGTGTAGAGATTACTTTAAAAAAAAATCTTAAAAATATGCTTTTCAGAACACATACAGATAGGATGAAACTACACAAAAAAGAAAACAAAAAATGATGAACACAGGATTCAGGATGGTGTTTACCTCAGGCGGGGGCAGCAAGGGGATGAAGTGGAATATTTGTAGATTTCTGTGATTTTCAAGGTTCCAGTTTTTCTGTTACATGGTTGGTTAATGATCATGCTTAATTGAGGTGCCTACATGGCTTAGTTGGTGGAGCATATGGCTGTTGATCTCTGGGTGTGAGTTCAAGCCCTCCACTGGGTACAGAGATTACTGAAAAAACAAAATGATGTGGGGTACCTGTGTCGAGCCCCACAACTGAGCCACGCAGGCGTCCCTAAGTAAATCTTTAAAACAAAACAAAATGATGCTTAGTTTGCTATTAAAAAAAAAAAAAAAAACCCAACGAATTAGGGGTGCCTGGGTGGCTTAGTTGGTTAAACCTCCAACTCTGATTTCAGTTCAGGTCATGATCTCAGGGTCCTGGGATCAAGCCCCAAGTCAGGCTCTGCACTCAGCATCGAGTCTGCTTGGGATTCTCTCTCCCAGCTCCCTCTGTCCTGCCCCCACCCCACACCCCACAAGCTTGCACTAGCGTGCCCCTAGCATACACTCTCTGTCTCTCACAAATAAATAAATAAATCTTAAAAAAAAAATTAGGGGAGGGGCACCTGGGTGGCTCAGTCGTTGGGCATCTGCCTTTGGCTCAGGTCATGATCCCAGGGTCCTGGGATCGAGCCCCGCATCGGGCTCCCTGCTCGGCAGGAGGCCTGCTTCTCCCTCTCCCAGTCCCCCTGCTTGTGTTCCCTCTCTCGCTGTGTCTCTGTCAAATAAATAAATAAAATCTTAAAAAAAAAAATTAGGGGAATCCATATATAGGCCAATGAGGAGGGGATGTCATAAACGAAGGAATTTCCCATGTACTTGAAATCCATAACAAACAACAGAAACAACAAAAATCCTGGCTAAAGTTATCCCCACTAGATATAAATTCCAGAAGGGCAGGGATGTGTCTGATTTGTTCACCACTGTAAACCCCAAGCTTAACACACAATAGACAAAAAATAAATCTTTGTTGAATAAATTAACATAAGCTCTCTGAGCCTCAGTTTCTTCTGGATCAAATAACATAATGTAAGTAAAGGCTTAATATACTGCCTGGTACAGAATAAAGCACTTAATAAAATAAATAGGAGCAATTTGATGAAGGTTTTATTAACAGCAAAAGCTTATCCCTAACCACCAACTCTACAATCTCTTGTAATAAGGAACAGAAGGGCAAAGTGCAGCTAATTCGGTGCCCTTGTAGACATCAAATAAAATTATTAGATTTCCTTATTTGAAGCTATCAACTTTTTTTTAAACTTTCTTTTTTCTTTTTTTAAAGTAATCTCTATGCCCAATGAAGGGCTCAAACTCATGACCTGAAATCAAGAGTTGCACGCTACACCAACTGAGCCAGCTAGGCACCCAAATTTCTTCTCTTTATTCCTCACCAAACATTGACAAGAATCTCATGGAGAACTGAACCCTGGCCCATTTCCTTTCACGTTGGCCACATAGCTGAATGCCAAACTTCCAAACTCAATATAAACTCTCAAAAACTCACTTGAGTTTTTGCATAGATTTACATATAACTGATATTCATTGTTTTCCATTAGCCTAGCCTCTTTATTTAATTTCTTTAAAGAATGACTTATTTGAGGGGTGCCTGGGTGGCTCAGTTGTTAAGAGTCTGCCTTCGGCTCGGGTCATGATCCCAGGGTCCTGGGATCGAGCCCTGCATCGGGCTCCCTGCTCCGCAGGAAGCCTGCTTCTCCCTCTCCCACTTTCCCTGCTTGTGTTCCCTCTCTCGCTGTGTCTCTTTCTGTCAAATAAATAAATAAAATCTTTAAAAAAAAAAAAGAATGACTTATCTGAGAGAGACAGAGAATGCATACACAAGGGGAGAGGGAGAAGCAGGTTCCCCGCTGAGCAGGGAGCCTGACATGGGGCTG